GTATCATCGTGATGTGTAATTAAAATAAAACGAACTTTCCGAAAAGATTTCTATCAGATTGTGCGTGCATGTACTGATAATAAATAAAATATATCAAACTGTATACTTTCGTTTCTTATAAAAACAAATAATTAAAATACAGGTAACGAAACCACATGCTACAACTTTTGATTCAATTTTTTAAATTACTTCAGCTTAGAATGGATGAATATAATATAAAATTAAGTGATATGCGGTGACAATGTTTAAATTATTATGAATTTGGAAGGCAGGTAATGTGAATGACTGTAGTACTTTTTTATGTAATAGTGAAAGGAGAGCGAAAGCGTAAAAATACGTTTCAAGATAATTTCAAAAAATGGCAGAGGTTATAGCGAAGCACACTCTTCACAGTGGTATTTTTCATCCTGTTTTACGGCAATGGCAATCGCCAAATGTGGAAATTACTGTTAGCAATCTTATGTATCCGATTTTCATTTCGTAAGTACCATTCATAACCTACCGCTTTGAATGATGATGCACACGTACATGTATATAGTATGCATGCAAACATTTGTACTTATATAGTTAGATAAATATAGAGTTTTATTATGGAATAACATTGATCTAGGTAGGAAGCTAAATTGCAATAATTTAATATCTGTGGACATAGATTAGGGGCATGTTACATAAGTATCTGCAAAGAAAGATAATTAAAACAGTAATATATTGGTAAAAGATAATAAAGTGAGAGAATATATTTGTTGTTAGGTTAGAAATTAAATGAAAACACTTGTTATTCTGAAAATATTTTAAAATTAGTCTTTATTTTTCAGGGACGAGCAAGATGCTAAAGATCCAATTAATAGTATGCCTGGCGTTTATCGGCATGGTATTAATCAACTGCGTAAAATGTTGGAACCATTGGTGTCAAAAGGATTACAATCTATATTATTATTTGGAGTATCAAAACACTTGAAGAAGGTGAACAGTATATAAAAACCTATCAATAACAAAACTATTAAAATAATAAGTAAATGAACCATGTATTTTTAATAGGATCATACTGGAAGCAATGCAGATAGCGCCCAAAATCCAATTGTTCAAGCTGTACCTTTGATAAGACAGTGGTTCCCAAATTTATTGATAGCATGTGATGTTTGTTTATGTCCTTACACTATCCATGGACATTGTGGAATTTTAAATGAAGATGGAAGCATAAATAATAAAGCTAGTATTTCAAGAATTTCTGAAATTGCTCTTGCTTATGCAAAAGCGGGTAAAGTTGCTTTTTTTTGTACATAACTTACAATAAGATTAACTCTTTTGCTGCTGTAGGTGCATAATGAACAGTGTTTAAAGTATGCACAGAATAACTCTGTTTTCATCCTACATTTTTAAATACTTGAATTGTTAAAACTTCTAGAGAACACAGATTTATGACTTTCAGAGCAAAAGAATCAAGTACATTATACCTCTCCCATCTGTGCCAACTACCAGTAAGCTAAAAGTGCTCAAGGGCTAGGCAAGTGCCCTTTCGCGATGCTCAGATTTTGTAATTGATAGAATCGCGTAACAGAGAATTCAAATAAAACAGAACACATCAAAATGTATCAAAACCGAGCATCGCGAGTGGATGCTTCCCTTTGACTCTGTACCCTTTTACCTTGTAGGTAGTGGACACAGACGTGAGAGGCGAATTATATAATTAACTCAGCATTGATAAAATTGCTGAATAAAGGAGCACAAATTGTGGCCCCGTCTGATATGATGGATGGAAGAATAGGTGCAATAAAACAAAAATTGGCAGCAGCTGGATTGTCAAATAAAGTCGCAGTTTTATCTTATGCTGTGAAATTTGCATCAGGCTTCTATGGACCTTTTAGAGATGCATCACAATCAGCACCCAAGTTTGGAGACAGAAAATGTTATCAACTGCCTCCAGGAAGTAATGGACTAGCTGCCAGAGCTGCTGTCAGCATTTTATTTTCTGTATTCTATACATTATGTTTTGATATATTAAACTCAATTTTATACATTTTTTTAAAGGCTAGAGATGTTTCTGAAGGAGCTGATATGCTTATGGTGAAACCAGGCCTGCCATACTTGGATGTTGTACGACATACAAAAGATTCACATCCAGAGTATCCAATGTTTGTATACCAAGTATCAGGAGAATATGCTATGCTTTACCATGGCGCACAGAATGGTGCAATTAATTTAGAAAATGTGTTGAACGAAGTTCTTTTGTCTATGAGAAGAGCAGGAGCTGATTGTATTATAACATATTTTGCACCATTAATTTTGGATATGTTGCAACCAAAGAGCAAATATTAAGATGCCATATAGAATGTACTTAACATGTATGTAATCAAACGTGACGTTTGTTATTTTAAATAAAGATATTATATTTGTGGTTATTTCATAAAAGACCGTACATAAAATATACTGCAAACTTCAACATGTAACCTAGTAATTAGAAATACATTTAACGATGCTCAGGAATTTAAGTTATTCCTATTAATCAAAGATAGAATTAAATCCCGTTAGATTCCATTTTCTTGTAGCAAACGTAAGTTGAGATTCCAATAAATACTGAATCGATATCGAATTTCGTTATTAATCCGTGGATAACAAAAATACAATGATTAAATAATTATTTTTGTTAACGTAATACAGTTAATGAATAAGCATTTTATAAAATGATTTCGTGTAAAATATGCATAGTTCTATTTTTCTGAGATTAAACAGACCGAGGAGTATAACCGTAATTCAATATAGAATTTTACGGCTCAAAGTTATTATTGATTTACAAATATATTTTGAATGTATTTTTTACATTAACGCAATAAATGAAAATATTTTCGCATGTTGCGTGGCTCTTTGCTCGATACGAATTCCTCCTCCAATGGTAAATGTACTCGAAATTTCCAGAAATGTAGTATCGGTGTGACGTGGGCCTATCGACGGCAGCCAACTGTAAGCCCATCGACCAATCAGCGTCTGTCTTTCCACTGATGCGGATTCCTCGAGACCAATCGGCAGAGGCCACGACGAAATCTTTTCGTTGATATCCCGGCATTGAGATCGGTTTGTAGTCAGTTACTCCTTGTTGTCCGTGTTGTATGTCTGATTTCTGTCGAAGTGAACAAATCTTTTGCTTGGAAAGAGAAGAAAATAAGCGCACACTTAATTCCTAAGCCGGTGAGTATGAAACGGACGTTCATTTAATTTCATTAATATTCGTAAATTATTAGTGCCCGTGTCTAAAGATTCCGTCGAGTATCGGGAATATTTCGTTTGCCACGTCTCGCTAGAAACGTGTATACGTTCCAAGTACGTCTGGTCAGAATTCGATTTTTATCCTCTTTATCTTTGTGAAAACTATTTCACGTAATTCTTCCGACGAATGCACATTTTTACGAATGACAGTGTAACATATTGTCAATGCGCATTGTGCGGTACTTAATTTCTTGCACTACGTTCGTCGAAATCTGATATATGTCATCAATTAGTAATCTACGTTTGAATTATAATTCTTAATTTCTTTTAATTCTCGATTTCATTTCACGTTCGAATATTTGTCGATCTTGCTTTCATAAATTTTGGCCGTTTTATATACTGCTACTAGAAATTTCTATGGTTCTAATTTCAGTTAAATGTACGGTATTTCTAACACTCTAAGTCTTTTTTTCCTGCAAAGTGGTTATTTTTGAAGCATGTAATATTTTAAATGTTCTATAGGACTGCTTTTATACGAAGAAGAATGAAAGGAGCTAAAGCTCTAATTTTGTTGGGCTTAATAGCCCTTGCTTCTGCGAAGGAAGAAAAGGAGAAGGAAGACATTGGAACTGTCATTGGAATTGATTTGGGTACAACATATTCCTGGTAAATGAAAAGCAAACTATTGATTAGTAGAAATTAAATTTTTTGTTGTATTCAGTCGAAGAAGAGATTTTCAATTCAATACTCGTTCATTCCAGTGTTGGAGTATATAAAAATGGAAGGGCAGAAATTATAGCTAACGATCAAGGAAATAGAATCACGCCCTCTTATGTAGCGTTCACTGCTGACGGTGAACGTTTAATTGGAGATGCCGCGAAGAATCAGTTGACTACAAATCCAGAAAATACTGTCTTTGATGCCAAACGGTTGATCGGTAGGGAATGGTCTGACCCTACCGTGCAACATGACATCAAGTTCTTCCCATTTAAAGTAATTGAAAAATACAGTAAACCACATATAAAAGTGGTAGTCAACGGCGAAGAGAAAATTTTTGCCCCTGAAGAAATCTCTGCCATGGTCCTTGGTAAAATGAAGGAAACTGCAGAAGCATACTTGGGTAAGAAAGTCACTCATGCGGTTGTCACTGTACCTGCCTACTTCAACGATGCACAGAGACAGGTAAGCAAAGATTACAAATGTTTGACAAATTTAGTTCAAATAAATTAAGCTCGAGGGCTTGCATTCATTAATTATTTTTATTCAGGCTACCAAGGACGCAGGCACTATTTCTGGACTTGTCGTTATGAGAATCATCAATGAACCTACAGCTGCTGCAATTGCTTACGGTTTAGACAAAAAAGACGGGGAAAAGAACGTTCTGGTCTTCGATTTGGGCGGCGGTACCTTCGATGTCAGTTTGCTTACAATTGATAATGGAGTATTCGAGGTGGTAGCGACAAATGGCGATACTCACTTGGGTGGCGAAGATTTCGACCAACGTGTAATGGATCATTTCATCAAACTGTACAAGAGGAAGAAGGGCAAAGATATTCGTAAAGACAGCAGAGCGTTGCAGAAACTACGTCGTGAAGTTGAGAAAGCTAAGAGAGCACTTAGTGTCAGCCACCAAGTACGTAAAAAGTTCTTCATGAGACTGATCTATGCGAAGCTCACGTTACTAATTACTACATGTATTTGTTGCTTCATAGGTGAGGATTGAAATTGAATCGTTCTTCGAAGGCGAAGACTTCTCGGAAACGCTGACGCGCGCCAAATTCGAAGAACTGAACATGGATCTTTTCCGCAGCACCTTAAAACCGGTACAGAAAGTTTTAGAAGACTCTGACATGAACAAGAAGGACGTCAATGAAATAGTACTGGTCGGAGGATCTACCAGAATTCCCAAAGTGCAGCAGTTGGTCAAAGAATTTTTCGGCGGTAAAGAACCATCTCGAGGAATCAATCCCGACGAAGCTGTAGCGTATGGCGCTGCGGTTCAGGCTGGTGTACTTTCCGGAGAACAAGACACAGACGCCATTGTATTATTGGACGTCAACCCTCTCACTATGGGCATCGAAACTGTTGGTGGTGTGATGACCAAACTTATTCCTAGGTAAGAACACACTATCCCTGTCATATTAATTTCATTGAAATCAATCACGTACAGATCTTCAACATATTTTCCTTTTGCCTATAGGAACACTGTAATTCCAACGAAGAAGTCTCAGATCTTCTCCACCGCGAGCGACAACCAGCACACAGTGACTATCCAAGTATACGAAGGTGAACGTCCGATGACGAAAGACAACCATCTTCTCGGCAAATTCGATCTGACCGGAATTCCGCCGGCGCCCCGAGGAATACCGCAGATCGAGGTCACCTTCGAGATCGACGCCAACGGTATCCTCCAAGTGTCCGCCGAGGACAAAGGGACCGGTAACCGCGAGAAGATCGTGATCACGAACGACCAGAACAGGCTGACCCCCGACGACATCGAGAGGATGATCAAGGACGCCGAGAAGTTCGCGGCTGACGACAAGAAACTGAAGGAGCGAGTGGAGGCGCGCAACGAGCTCGAGTCGTACGCGTACGCCCTGAAGAACCAGCTGGCCGACAAGGAGAAGCTCGGCTCGAAGGTGAGCGACTCGGACAAGGCCAAGATGGAGGAGGCCGTCGAGGAGAAGATCAAATGGCTGGAGGACAACCAGGACACCGATCCGGAGGAGTACAAGAAACAGAAGAAGGAGCTCAGTGATATCGTTCAGCCGATCATCGCGAAGTTGTATCAGGGCGCGGGCGGCGGCGTCCCGCCGACCGGCGGCGACGAGGACGATCTAAAAGATGAACTTTAACTATGAATCGATCGGTGCATACATTTGTCTTAATTTAGACTGAATTCCCGCAGTCTCTCGTGCAGAAAACGGTACCAGAGATTAAAAGCCACGTCGTTGATGCGTCAGGTATAAACGAAAGACTGATCGACGAACGTTCGTTATTCATTATGTTGCATCGGAACGAGAACGGTACTCGTGCGCGCGCCGATCGCACCTCCCGTACCGGTTCTATAACGTATTTCGCCACGTAACGTAAAAGGTTTTCTTCGTAAAAGGTAAAGAAGATACACACTTAATGGGGAAGATTTCTACCATCGAGAGGAATGGGGGTAGCTTCTTTCGTTTCCGATTAAGACTATGCGCGTTAATTTATTTTACTTAATTTTTTTTGTATGTTCTATTACATATATATATATAAATCGAATATATAATCGAATAAACACAGTTACGTAACACTCATGTTACAGATACGCAGCGTGTGTGTGTGGAATTAGAATGATTGTTCCGTGAAATGGCGACAGTATTCGCGCCTATTACTGCCTGTAGAGAGACTATATCGTACTGTGTACAATATAGTTGTCTTTTTATGTGAGCGAATGTCATATATATATATATACATAAATATATATATATATACAATCTCATCGAAATAAACATTTTTTCAGTAAACCATAAATTGTCTTTCAACGCTGACTGACTCCAATTTGAAGAAATAATTTTAATATAAGGAACACGAATAATTCCTCGCACCTTGAAATCGCTGACTTTCAAAATGGACGATAGAAATACAATAGAGATTGAATTTGAAACAAATTTTATTCCGTGATACAGTTTGATCGTGTAACAAAAAACAGTTAAAAATTTATAGACAAAGATCAATAGTCCATATCTTCGATTGCCTATTGTATCTATTTTATCGAGATATAATTATCAACAGACGCAATAATAGCAATATAAAGTACATCCTTTTTTCTTCCTTTGCTTCCTTTTTGTATAACTTCCCGATATCTTTCTGTTCAGTCACTAAACGTATTTTCGCTCACGGTACAAAAATAATTGTCGGAATCCCGTTAACAGTCGTTCCCTATCTCGGAATTCGTTCTCCCGGTGAATTTCATGCGTGGAGCATCCGTTCCGCGATGATGCGTCCTTCCGATAATAACGATTCACTGAATTGTAACGTTGTTTCGCCAAACGGAATCGGTTCGATTTTTTACTCGGTGCCAGACGGCTCGTCCTCGCGAACGCAATTATTCGTCTCGAGCGACTGTTCTTTATCTTCAACCGAATCATCGTTAGACCGTGGATTTTATACGCTGCACGATTCTCGAACAAAAATCCAGTACAATAAGAACGTTTAGGGTCATTTTCTTCGGAATGTGATGACACGCTTAACACGTTAAGCGCCATGAAAATCCATTTTTCTGTTATTTTAGCAAAGAAAAGTAGCAACAATTCTTTGCATTAGACTATTATCATTCTGTACGATTATCCTTTTTAGCAAAGAAAATCAACAATTATTCTTTGCATTACACTATTATCAACTTAGCCACGTTATCAAACATTTCGATTCGACGTCGATGATCTTGTCACGACTGTTTTCAAATAATTCAGAAGTCATCGACTGACGGCGTTTAACCCTTAGCAGTCCTATGTCAGACTCGGCACTCTATTTTATTGCAACCTCTACCTTCAACAATTTTCTCTATATTTGTAGTATCACAATTGTACAATGCAATTGCAAGTGAATACATTTCGTAACTTTCAAGTTACAATGACGTTAAACTTCCACGCCTGAGCGTATAAAAGTTGAAGTTAACCGATTACTTAATTTTATTCGCCACTTCGAGTGCAAAATGAAATAAATCAACAAGACGCCGATATACTGATATGCGACTTCAAAGTTATGAAATTTTTTTTTATGCGTTCGCATAAATATCCGCGGCCTAAGGATATCATCGAAACAAAGATGGACAAACGATATCAACATCATTCCCTTTCTCGCGAGTGCCAGGCTTGCGTCGCCGGATTCAGAGTACTTTCGTCGCTTTCGCATTATAAAGAAGTAAGGCCGAAAGAGTAGGCGTTTCGATTGTGAGTTAGAAATTCCGTATTTCCTCCCCGGATCGCCGCAGCCCCGTCATTCATCGGCATTGAGAACAAGTATCGAGGTATATCATCCTTTGTACGTCAAAATTGAATAATCCTTCTCATACTTCGTCATCATCCTCCGCGAACGACAGACGTTGAGCATTCCCCTCGCGGACCGAACGGCGCTGCGGCGATCGCGCGATTACAATAAGCTTCATTTTTCGTCCGTAGTGAATATTTGTTTATTAACCCTAAGGAACGTGGTTCTATCGTACTCGTAATCTTTCAGACTCCGGTGACCGATCACGCTCGATATATTCCCTTGGACACAGATTCGATCGGTAAACACGTTAAGCGCCGCGTCAGTCACTGGCGACTGACGCTTCTGAATGACTAAAGAACAATCGTAACGTACGAGACAACCGATGTGAAATAAAAATGTTTAATAAGGCAACTAAGTTGAATAATTCATAAGTATTCCTACTTTTCTTTACGAAAGACAAACTATGGGAGAATTAAGACTTTCGTGGCGCTTAACGTGTTAACGCCAGAACTATCGGTCTGAAAAACAAATGTAACATACACATATGTACGTGCTACAATGAATATAAACACGGTGAAGCAAACGAAAACAGAACAATGTGGATGCCAGACTTTCGAAGTGAGTCGATCGTTCCAGCGTTGACGGATCTCCGGTCCGAAAGGAAATCGGTCGGAGAAACCAAGGAAACCGTTCCCGATTAGGAACAGTTGATCTTTCTATTTGCATTAGAAAATAGCAACGCGATCGAGATAAGTAGACACTTGGTGTCGATAGTACAACTTAATTGCTCGTTACAATACGCTTCTCCTCTTTCCTTTTCTTTTTCTACGGTAAATAGTCGTTCCTGTTTCCGTTTTTCGTTTCCCTTTTTTTTTTAATTAT